GATTAGGTGAGGTCATATCTTTGATGGTAGAAGGTGGAATGAATTCTCACCTGGCTTACAGGTTTGAAGACAATGAAATAGCCTTCGTGGAAAATGAGCAGGGAGCTAGCCAGAGAAAGAAAGGGTTACTGGTCAGGCCTAAGGGCCTGAGATCGGCCACCGTAATTGTGGTGCACTGGTGGGCTGATGTATTCTCAAGTTGGGGAAACCACTGCACTTGCCAGTCTCCGTTTTTCTTTTGTCTCTTTTTCCCACCTGAGTGTTCTCTGGCTGGTACATGTTCAGAAGGCAAGGCCTGTAGCAGTATCCTTCATCCCCTGTCTTTGATTACCATAGTATAGTATATACAGTGAACGCCTAAACGTCTTAGTCAAGGTACTTTGGGTTGCAACTATCAGAAGCTCACTCTAACTTGTTTAGCAAAAAAAAGAGAACATCTCGTGGAGTGCAGCTCCTTTATAAGGGTCAGAACCAGGCTCTCTGCTGTTTCCTTGGCCTCTCCAAGATGGCATGTGCCTGCTTCTCTCCTTCACGGCCCCCTCTCACCCTTCTGACCCCAAATGGCCACCCCAGGCCAACGTCACAATATTTGCCAACCATGTAACAGAGACTGGAAAAAGAGACAAAAGAAAAACGGAGACTGGCAAGTGCAGTGGTTTCCCCAACTTGAGAATACATCAGAATCCCCTGGAGAGCTCTTTTAAATAATAGATTCCTAAACGCCACATTGGATTTCTGAATCCATCTTTGTGCATATGACCCCAAAACTTTGTCTTTCAGAAACGCCCCCAGGTGATCATGGTACAATTAGGCTATAAACCTGCACTTGAGAACTACTGCTCTTAGGTACCCCTCCCTCTCCCCCCCATTCTCAGTTCCAAGGAGCATCTGATTGGCGCCCCGTGGTTCAGTCAGCCTTGACCAGAGGAGCCCGTCATGAGTGACGTGAGGAAGCAGCCACACGGGGCCACTGCTGCTATGTACCGAGTCTTTGTTCAAATTAGGAAGAAGTGCCCCCTGAGCGGAAATAAAGAAAGGCGCCCTAGGAGGGAGAAGCTGCTCACTGGCAGGGTTGGCGCTTCTCCACAGGAAGAAGAGGTGCCCCTGCCCTGGATTCTAGCTCTTCGCATCCCTTGTGTGCCCACCACACCGGCTCCACCCCATTTCTGTGGCAGGGGACGATTCCCAGAGGAGGGTGTGGGCTGGGAAGATCCCAGCAGCCTCTCTGATTCAGCAGATGCCTGGTGACTGTCATCTTGCTAGTTTGTTGTGGGCTTCTCACAAAGTGTACCACAGAGCTGGGTAGGGCTAGATTCGGTATTCTGATTCATTGGGGGGTTTCTCTGTATTCACATGGTATCAAGATAATGCAGGATCTAAAGAGTTAAAATCATACACTGATGTGAGCAGAGTTCTTGGAGCCAAGTTCTCAAGAAAATAGCCTTCAATAGTTTATTGTAAAGAAAATATATTTCAAGAGGAAGTTTTCTCCTTAGAGCTCAGGAAAAGACCAGAATGACAAATTTTATTTCTGGAAAAGATGGTCAGTTGGGGGCAACCTAAATTGGAGGGGAATGACAGAAAGCTGCTGGCTGCTGAGGAGGGCTGACTAGAAGGAAGTACAGGCCCCTATAACTTACTCTGCTGTGGAATTCACTCACTCGTGTTTATCTAACAGTGATTCACCCTGTGCTCGCTGCGGTGTCAGGCCCTCTTCCGGTGCTGGGGATTCAGCAGTGAACCAGACAGACAAAAATCCTGCCCTGAAAAGCAGGGGACTGGGAGCGACCAGTAACATCTGGAAATGGAGCGGGCCTGTCGGGCAGCAGAGCTTTCCAAACATACAGACCTGGTGAATGGAGGTATAACCCACATTCCCGGTGGACTGCTATTCCCCCACCACCCTGGCCCTACCTGGCCCACCCAACCTCCATGTTAGCCCCAAGTGTTCCAGCTGGGGAGATGACTCCAGTGCCCAGCGGAGGGACACAGTGAGGGGTACCAGCAGTAGCTGGAGGATGAACATGCACTGATGCAAGGGTTGAGCCCCCACTTGGGTGGGCAGGAGGCCTGTAAAACACTCACACCAGAACCTGCTCAAATGAGAGGAATCCTGCGATAAAAGCCTTACTATCAGACACAGCGGCAATTTATTCCCTTTGCTATCATTGTCATTCAGTCGCTAAGTCATGTCCCACTCTGCGACCCCATGGACTGCAACACATCAGGCCTCCCTGTTCCTCACTATCTCGCGGAATTTGCCCAAGTTCATGTCCATTGGGTCGGTGATGCCATCCAACCATCTCATCCTCTGTCACCCTCTTCTCCTTTTGTCTTTACTCTTTCCCAGCATCAGGGTCTTTTCCAGTGAGCTGGCTGTTCGCATCATGTGGCCAAGATATTGGAGCTTTGGCTTCAGCATCAGTCCTTCCAATGAGTATTCAGGACTGATTTCCTTTAGGATTGACTGGTTTGATCTCCTTGCTGTCCAAGGGATTCTCAAGAGTCTCCTCCAACATCACAATTGGAAAGCAGCTTTGACATTAGATTAGATTGTTCAGGGTATTTTTTTTTCCTTGTTACTCTTCTATGTTATTAAAAAAACACACACACACATTTAGGAAAATAAAGAAAACATAAATGTACAGTAACCAAATAATTATAAACAAATGCCTGTGTGAGTAACCACTCAAGAAATAGAATGTTATCAGTACTCCCACAAACCACCTCCTTCTGTGTGCCTTCCTAACCCAGCCCTTCTCCTGACTTTTATGATGATTTCTTCCTTGCTTTTCTTACGTACTTTTTTACTTTCTTTTTCTTGTTGTTTTGGCTGTGCTGGACGTCTTGTGGGGTCTTAGTTCCCAACTGGGGATTAAACCCGAGCCCTCGGCAGTGAAAGCTCGGAGTCCTAGCCACTGAACTGCTGGAGAGTTTTCCCTAGTTTTACTACTTATGTATGCATGGATTTTGTTTTATTTGTCTGTTTAATAGCTAAGAGTCATTCAAGGTCCTGACTGATAAGTTGGGAGATCAGGCTGTGTAGTGCCATTTATTTGTTCAGTTTTTCAAAGTTGTATGCTTTTAAGCAATAAGGATGAAATTCTTCTGTTTCATGTGAACTAGGCATATTGAAGAAAATTCCAAAAATGTTGTGTCCTGCCAGCACTGCTATGAGGACTTTGGTCATTTGAACATATTCCTTCTGGTTCATCTATTCATCTATTGATTTTGTTATTTCAGAGTCCCATCTAGAATATAGCCTTACCCTGTTAGACCACATTTTTCCAACTTTTATCTGTTTTTTAATCCAAAGTGGCACCTTTCTTTCTTTTTATTTTTGACCACACATCACAGCTTGTAGGGACTCAGTTCCCCAACCGGGGGTTGAACCTGGGCCACAGCAGTGAAAGTCCAGAGTCCTAACCACTAGATCCAGGTGGCCCTTAGTGTCTGTCTGCTGGAGATATTTGTGAGGAGAGCCGCAGGCCTCCCTACAACATGGATATCCTCCTTGTGGCTTCTCTGCGGTAGGGGAGTGTGGAGTTATGTTCCAGGGGAAACTGTGACGACTGGGAGGTTCTCCCCTGTGGTGTCCTGACTAAGAACGTATGAATATTGCCTGTAGACTTGAGATGTAGGTCCAAGCTTCCCTGCTAATGGAAAGATGAGCAAGGTGACCATTTCCATCTTTGTAATGACCTCCTCCAATCTCTCTTGGAAGATGTCAAATCCCTCTCCATTTTTGTATTAGAAAAAGGAGCCAAATAGATCATTGTTTAGCATAATTAACTGTTTAGAACAGAAATATTAACATATCTAGTTCTCTGGTTTAGTTGGCTAGTGACCAGGCGTTACTCAGTTCTGTGTGAGCGGCCACACGTGAACAGTTGGTGGGAAACTTTTTCTTAGGCCAGAGTCACATGTCATCACCCATGGAGATGGTTACACTAAATCATCTGCTGGTGTACAAAGTATAAAAGTGAAGGAAAAACTGAAAACTTACTGCACTGTGAAATAGTCATGACAAAGGATTAAAAACTGGGTGTGGTTGAGAAATCCACCCTTTATTGTGCTCAGTCGCTTTAGTCATGTCCAACTCTCTGCGAACCTATGGACTCTAGCCTGCCAGGCTCCTCTGTCCATGGGATTGTCCAAGCAAGAATACTGGAGTGGGTTGCCATACCTTCCTCCAGGAGATCTTCCCATCCCAGAGATTGAACTTGTGTCTCCTACACTGCAGGCAGATTCTCTACCGCTGAGCCACCAAGGAAGCCCAGAAACTGTTTATCACTTTAAATGCATTATAGAGGTAACATTTTTTGGAGCTAGAAAGACCTTGTTAGCCCTTAAACATCATCCAGTTCCTCTTCCTTATTTACAGAAAAGCACATAACAGTTTAAACATCAGATTAATTTTTCTAGTGATATTTTGTTCTAATATTCAGCTAATTTACATTTCCCAGTTACCTGCCACCTGAGGCTGTCATTTCACGAACCAAAGACCTCCCAGACAGCAGGGGGAGAGGTGCTTCAGATCATCTACACAGCAAACAGCAAGCGTTGACAGTAGACTGAGGTTGGCACTTAGGTCCTGACTGGGTGGTCAGCGTTCCTGCAGACCCCGCATAGTCGAGGTCATAATCATTCTTGCAGGTGTGATAAAGCATTCCTGAAGCTAGAAACTGTTGGGGGGCAGAAACTGAGTTCCAGGCTCAGCTTTGCATCTGAGCACCATGAGCACAGGAGTTCCGGGAGCAAGAAAGCAGCTGGTGTCAATGAACTCTGCATCCCTGACTGGTGTCAAGAAGACTCCGCGTGCCTGGAGACTTTAGAGGGTGCTCTTTGCAGTTCTCCCAATGTGACAGGGACAGTTGTTTTATAATCTAACCTGAAGGTGATGCAGGAGACTCATTAACTGACTTGGTTGGCATTTTAAGTGATCTTTTAAAGCTTTTATCGTGGATTTAATTTTTCCATCTCGGCCATGTTTTTCACAGGCTCAGAAAAAAAGCTTGAATCAGACTTCCCCCATTTCTGCTTCCAAGACCACAGATGGCCTGAGGCCAGCGCCCATGCCAGGCCTCTTGAGCACCGCACTGCCAGGTCAGGAGCCCCGCCGTGAGCTCTCCTCAATCCGTGCCCGTCTTCCCAGGGGACACCCTCTGCACACCCGTCATCCTGCATCTCTTTCACTCCGCCTCACCTTCACTCTGATCCTCCCTGCTTTCTGTATCCCTTCCACCTGAGTTATATACCGTGTTGCATCTGTGCCATCATTTTATATAAAAAATGAGAAATTAAAACATCTCTATTAAGTTATGTTCAAAAAGTGTGCTGCTTAGAAAGAGTGAAACCTAGTATTTTGAAAATAGTAAAATGAAAATAGTATTATATGGCACATGTGACTTTGCAGCTATCCTCACATTGCTTTGTATAGGTATATTTAGAATTCACCCATCTGAGACAGAAAGTATCATGGGTCATGTCTCCCATTTCTTCTAAAGCTTTGAACACCCACACTACTCAATAAGTACTAGAAAAGATGACACTATGAACACTAGTAGCCTGTCCCCTGTTTGGACCTCCCTTTCCTTAAGTTGTGAGTATTTGGAGGTTCGGTGGTACTGACAGATCACTGGCTTGAGGCCTATTCCGTAGACCTTAGATGATTTGAAACTGTAGCATTTGACAGCTTTTGGTTTATTACCATTTATGTATGTGTTTATTTCTATGTATTACCTAAATAATCTTTCATAACCCTTACCTCTGCTTTTTGCGCTTTGGTAGATAAATGTACTTCCTGCTTTCCTTTCTCATAGCCAACATCCATGATAAATCTGTTTCAACAAGTTCAGTAATGTGTGTATATTGGACTCTAGGGGTTACCTGCTGGGCCTGATTTACTGTTTCTGTTGAACGTTGTCTCATGTGTTCATTCTAATAGGGCAGGATTCTGGAAGCAAAGTTATACCAGCGTCCTTAGGAACCACACAGCCCCAACAGGAAAAAGTCGTTGGATCACCTCCTGGCCAGCCAACGGTGCAGGTAGAAGACAGTTTGCCTGGCTTCTTCTTAATGTTCAGTGTGATTGAAAGAAAATGTCACATCCCCTTCTGCTTACTAGAGGCTCTCTGGCATCGTCTGCACAGTCAGCCCTGATGCCCTGTGTGCCCACAAAAGTACTCATTGAAGACCTTCCCCAAGGGCCAGGTCTTGTAATGTTAATGTTTCTAGGATGAGTGCATCTTTTCCTTACATACTTTCAGTGCTATCATTTCCTCATGAATCAATAATATACCAGCAGTTGTCCACCTGAAACTATCACAACATTATTAACCAGCTATACTCCAAAACGGAAAGTTTAATTAAAAAGAAAAAATTAATCCTCAAGAGCAAAAGTAAATAGAATGTGTCCCAAAATAAATTGTAGTAATACATTAATACATTTGTTTAAATAAACAATAATTTAAAGCCTTTGAATTACATTTTAGTTGAAAAATTCCATTCTGATTTTTCTTGGAAAATGTATTCATGTGAAAATATTAAGTACTTATTAAATAAAACAGTGCAAAAATTTATCTTTTAAAAATAAAAATGATTCTGAATATAAAAAATAACATACCAGCAGCCAGCACATCATGGGCACTTGAAAAATGTAGTTTACTGTTGAATGATAATGACCATTATCTTATCAAAAGTGGATCTGTTCCTCTTAGTTATACTAGAGATTTTTTTCCCCTGTCGGAGTATATGAAGTAATCAGACCCTGTGGTCTTTTAACTCATCCACTGGTCTAAAAAAGAAGAAACGAATTTTTTGTCTTCCATTTTTTAAGGCCTTTGTTTCTTTTCCATCAGTTTTACAAGTTAATAGCTTAATGAAATTTGTGATCGTCTGGGCCTGCCTGGAATACTCAGTGAAGGATCTGGCTCAGTTCTCAGGTTCTGACATAAGGAGTATTTGTTCTTTACTATGATCTAAGAAATACCCTGATAGATCACACACCTGGACTGGATGTAACAAGAGCTCAGATGTGTTTGCTCCCTTATTTACCACTGAGAAGATGAGTTAAAGACTATCTACTGAATTTTCAGTTGTTTATGAAGTTGGCACTTAAAATATTATTTTTTCAAAAATATAATGAAAGGACTTCCCTGGTCATCCAATGGCTAAGATTCTGTGCTTCCAATGCAGGGGTCCCGGGATCGATCCCTGGTCAGGGAACTAGATTTCACGTGCTGCAACTAAGAACCAGTGCAGCCAAATTAAAGAAAAATAATAATAAGCATTTAAGGGCTTCCCTGGTTGTCCAGTGGTTAAGATTCTGTTTTTACTGCAGTGGGGCATGAGTTTGATCCCTGGTCAGGGAAGTTCCACGTGTCACAAGGTGGCCAAAGGAAAAAACAAAAATATAATGAAGCATTTGTAGAGGGAGCTAGGAATTCAGGCTTTAAGGTGCAAGTGACTCCCTTCCAGGAGCTGATGGCTCAGCTTTCTATAATCTTGACACAGTGCAGCTTTGCTGCATAGATCTATGGGACTTCCTTGTTTTGTTTTCCAACATGGCAAATTCTACATTCTTAGAGTGTGCTATTGATGGAGAGTTGAGAAGACTGCAGCCACAGTGACCTATATGAACTGTGTTCTGCTTGTGTCTTCTACAGAAGGGACTAAGGAGAGCTGTGTTTTGTCCTCAGGTGGATGGTCACGCGGGAGGACAGAAGAGGCCCGCTGCCAAACAGCTGACTAAAGGAGCTTTGTGAGTCCCCTTCGGAAATGACCCATTCTGAATGTTTTTCTAGGTTCCTAACCTTCAACAGATAGACAGCAGCAGTCGGGTCATGATACTATATATTTTTAAAAGTATGCTTTGGAAGTCTTTCCCTTTAGTTTGTTAGCACCTGTATATATATCAAATGTAGTTTGAGCCTACTGCTTACCCTTTTGTTCTTAAGAATAGTTCTTTGTCTTCTTAGCAGCCACATACCCTTTGACTGGCCTCAGGGTCTCTGAGAAGAATGGTTTGATAAATCCCTATGTTCAGAACAGAAATGTTAACCATAAGCTTAGCTGGCCAGTGGTGAGGCATTGCCAGGGTCTATGTGAGCACCCGCACTTGAATGGTTGGTGGGAACATGGTGCTTTAGAGGCCAGGGTCATAGTTTGAGACTAAACTCAGGGTCAGACTAAACTAAACCCACCATGATGTACAAAGTATAAAACTATACTATATTTGATAACATCCCTGGGCGTCTCATTGTCTTTGCATGCGAATTGTTGTGATTAGATTTCTTGACACGACTCAACACAGCCATGGGCAATTTCTCTCTGACAGCATTCTCCAGCAGTTACAGAGGGACCAAGCCCTTGCGGTGACGCCTGACAAAAGCCAGTTCCGGTCACTTAGTGACGCGGTGCAGAGGCTGCTCTCCTATCACGTGTGCCAGGGCTCCATGCCCACGGAGGAGGACCTGAAGAAAGGTGAGCAGGCTGGAGCCCCAGAGTGCCACCTTGCCCCCAGGCCGCCTGCCGGGGACACGCCCCACAGGAGAACCCGAGGCACGGTGCCCCCAGGTGGTCGCTGGGTTACTCTTTTTCATCACAGACCTGCCATCTTCCCAATTTACTTGGTTTCCCAGTCCATGTTGAGCATTGTGACTTATTTTTCTCAGCATTCTGTGAAGGGGTACTCAAATGTCTGGACATTTTATGGGCAAGTTTGAGGGCAGTGAATGCAGAACATTGTCGGGACTCTGGCTGCAGGTGGGACAGCCCTGGGCTAGGTGCTCTGCATGGTGATTCAGGCACAGTCCTTGCATTTAGGCTGAGTGCACACATACCCTGAGCTGTTAGCATCACCTTTATGAATTAGATAGATCCTGTAGCCCTCCAAAAGCTTTGAGGTTCCAAAGGCAGTCCAAGGCACTGCTCCACATCCAGAAACTGGCAAAATGTTTAGAGGTAATGTCCTCTCATCCCATCTTGAGCTCAGCCCATTCCGATGCCTGGCCCTGCTGCCTCTCCCAGCCATGCTGCCCAGTTCTACTCTCTTTCCCACCACCATTCCCAGCCTGGACCCCGTTAGGCCCCCTCCGCTGCTTGAATCAGTCCCCCAGCTGCCCGCAGACTTGTCCCTCCGACCAGGGTCTCTAATGGGAGCACAGCCATCAGCCCACTGAGAGCTTCCCTGGGAGGGCCAGGGTGCTCTTCATCCTCATCCAGCATAAAATAGGGATGTGGAGCCTCTGAGAAGAGCGAAGTGGAAACTGTGAGACCTTTGGAGACAAAGGACAGAGCCATAAGACCATGACCTGCGAGATGCCGTGGACTAGTTGGTGTGGTTACGGGAACCTGGTCTGCCCAGCCCAGACAGTAGGACCTCATTGTCTCAATGGTTTCAGATTTTCATGCTTTGGAAGGAAGTAGAGGCTTTGGTGACCTGAGCTAGTAGATGATTCTCTGTTCATGGATATTTGCTGCTGTTCTGTGTTTCGTGGTTTTCTTTCATAGATAATCTTAAAGGAGTTATGTTTTTAGTTTCCTAATCAGAGTTAAAACAAGCTAGCATTAAAATGAGTTTCTGAGAGCACATGCCAGTGAACAGTAAGGGAAAGCCATGCAGAAGCATCATGTCTAACCAAGGAAGAGCTAAACTCAGAGAGAAAAGCGAGAAATGAAGGACCTAGTGGTTGATGTGTGCTCTCTTACTATTTTTTTTCTCTCTCTCTTTTTAAAGTTGACAATGAATTTGAAACAGTCGCCACTCAGCTCCTGAAAAGGACCCAAGCTATGCTTAACAAGTACAGATGCCTGCTCTTGGAGGACGCCATGGTAAAGTTCCACTGAGCACAGTCTGTTTCTTAAACTCCACAGGTCACAGCTACTAATTCAGATACAAAAACTTCAAGGAATTACATTTTCCCACCATAGTTGAAAAGGAACAGATACTTAAAATTGTAGAAAAACTTGCTTTTGCCTGCACCTACTACTAACAGCAGCTGTGGGTTGGCCAAAAAGTTTGCTCAGGTTTTCTGTACATTTTCCGTACAAACTTATTGGCCGACCCAAATACAAGCACTGTGCTTTCCATGACTGATCACTCTCAATCTCTGCCATTGTTTTCCTGGTTCCAAATGAGGAATTGGGGCTTGGTTACGTAATTTTCCAGATGCCACACAGCCAGTAAGTTTGCTCTGTATTTAGCAGAGCTGGGATTCAGACCAGGACCACATGACCCCCCTCCATACTCCTATGCCGTCCACTGCCTCTCATCAACCGAAAGAGGCAGGAGCGGACCGGTGGCACTTCTGCTGAAGGGTGTTCAGAATAATATCCTAAGAGATGAGGTGACAGACATTAAAATTAATTTTGTCTTGTTTTCAGTTGATCATTAAAGTCATAAAAATCATGCTTCATTTTAAAATGTACCACCTGATGGATTTTAATATGTTCACAGACTATGTAGCCATCAGCACTCCCTAATTTCAGAGCATTTTCAGCCCTCCAAATAGAAACTAAAATTGATTTTAAAGCACAGCAAATTAGAGAAAGGAGTAAGATAGCTCCGAAAATGATGGAAAGCCCAAGTCTATCTGAGATTTTAGAAGCAGTCCTAAAATCATACAGACTAATAAATTGGTCTCTTACAAGTGGCTTTTTTTGTTGTTCCGCTGAGTCTTTGTTGCTGTGTACTGGCTTCTCTCTAGTTGCAGCAAGCAGGGGCTACTCTCTCGTTGTGGTATGCAGATTTCTCATTGCAGCGGCTTCTCGTGTCTCGGGTTCGTGGGCTTCAGTAGTTTCAGTTCCCAGCCTCTAGAGCACAGGCTTAGTAGTTAACAGCATGTGGGCTTAGTTCCCCAAGGCATGTGGGACTCTTCCCAGACCATGGATTGAACCCATGTTCCCTGCATTGACAGGTGGATTCTTATCCACTGTACCACCAGGGGAGTCCACAGCTGGCTTTTAATTTGAAATCAGCTTTGAAAATTTACCTTGGAAGAATAGGTGAACTACATTATATATGTATACAGGATAGTGTAAATATGTATGTATGTATGTTTGTGTTTATATGTGTGTGTGTGTGTGTGCATGTGTGTGTGTGTATATATATATATAGGCATACCGCAGAGATATTGAGGGTTTAGTTCCAGACCACCTCAATAAAGTGACTATCACAGTAAAGTTATTCACATGAACTTTTTGGTTTCCTAGTACATATAAAAGTTATGTTTGCACTATACTACAGTCTGTTAAGTATGCAATAGCATTGTGTCCAGAACAAAAATATGTATATCTTCATTTAAAAATACTTTATTGCTTAAAAATGCTAACCATCATCTGAGCCTTCAGTGAATTGTAATCTTTTTGCTGCAAGAGGATTTGAAATATTGGGAGAATTACCAAAACATGACACAGAGACATGAAGTGAGCAAATGTTGTTGGGAAAATGGTGCCAATAGACTTTTTCAATGCAGGGGTGCCACAAACCTTCAATTTGTTTAAAAAAAAGTGCAATATCTACAAAGCACAATGAAACGAGATATGCCTGTAACCTATATATATTTATTTTAAATTGTGCCACCAAAGTCTGAAACAGTTGTTCTTACTTTGACAATCATTTCTGTAATAAAACAGATATCAAAAAAACTAACTCTGTCATTCATGAGAAAAGGATCATTTGGACAGATTTGGACAAATGGACTAATTATTTGGACAAATTATGTCTGCCATGATTTTTATGTTAACTAAGAATAAATAAGATTTGATTCTGTACAGCAAGAAATAATTCTAAGGAAAGCCTTAATACAAAACACGATCATAGGGGAATTCCCCGGCAGTCCAGTGGTTAGGACTCTGCACTTTCACTACCATGGCCCAGGTTCAATCCCTGCTCAGGAGACTAAGATCCCACAAGCTGTGCTGCAAGGCCAAAAGAAAACACAGAAATAGCATAGCAAAATATAAAGTAAAAGAGTATCTGAACAATAAGATTTCCAACATATTAAGCAGAGGAGGAAATAAGCAGAGAATAGTGCATGTCGTTGCTCGTAATTTGTGTGCAAAAAATAGAGAATGAATAATGTAAATGTGTGTGTGTGCATAAAATATCTCTGGAAGAGTTTGTTAAACTGCTTGGCAGAGGGTACCTCCAGAGAGGGCCCTGGGTGGGTGGGCAAGGCATTGCACAGAGCAGGTAAAGAAGGAAGGCTTACTTTCCACATCCCCTTTTAGTACCTTTTGAAGTTTGTATCAATGTTATAAATAACCTTTTCCCAAAAAATACAATTTTAAAAAATATGTCAATGATAAACACATTTTCTTCTCTGATTGCTTCCTCTGTCCCCCAAATGCAGCAAGATGTTCGCAGTTGTTAAAAGGCATCTGAAATGACTAGACTCTCTCATTTTTAGCGGATCAACCCCTCCGCTGAGATGGTGATGATCGACAGAATGTTCAACCAGGAGGAAAGAGCTTCTCTGTCCCGGGACAAGCGTCTGGCACTCGTAGACCCCGGTAAGAAATGTCAGAGTGAAAGCCAAGGAGCGCTCCTGCAAGGGTTCCGGGGCTGTGGCTTTGGGGAGACTTTCTGAACTGACCTTGCGATATGAGACCTGAAGGTAGATCCTGGATTCCAGGGAGAAAAAATCTGGAGTTGAGAGCAGGATATGAATCCTCTGAGAAGGTCAATGTTCTGCAGAATCCAAACTGGAATTTTACATTCGGTTAACTGAATCTTCTTCTCTCCTGTAAACTCAGCACTTCTCAATCTTTCTCTAGTTTCTGAGAACTAAAGTAAGTCAGAAGCCTTCCCAGAAGCAACTAAACCTCAGTCAATTATTGAGTTGTCTTACTATGTGCCAGGCCTTGTGGGGAGTCAGTGAGGCCCAGTCCCTGCCCATAAGCTAATGGATGGTAGCGCTCCTTGTGGGTACTGTTTGAACACCCCATCAGCTTCCTGCTGTTTGCATCATGTTAGTGTCAACCTACATCCCGTCTTTTAGAAATGGATTCTCAGGACTGCCCTGGTGGTCAGTGGTTAAGAATCTGCCTGCCAATGGAGGCGGCATGGGTCCTATTCCTGATTGGGAAACTAAAATCCTGCATGCCACATGGTATGGCTGAAAAATAGAAAAAAAAGTATTCTCCATACTATTTTCTCGCCTCTGAAATTTTTAAATACAATAACATTATAAAAATTTGTGGAGTATGGATTTTCACCCATATTTTCACCATCCTATAAATGTTTTTACTCCTACAAGTTTTCTTCCCCTTCTGGTTCCCACTTCCATATTATCATTTACAGGTTGCTTTTATAGGACACCCTCCAACTGTGCTTCTGCACATTCCTGGACGTGAACGACTGACTTAGAGGGTGAGGTGGGGCAGTTTGCACCTGACCCACTGAGGGGCTGCTGTCTCGTCCTCACTGTCTCCTTCTTTCATTAACGTTCTTTTCGTTCCTAATTTCAGAGGGTTTTCAGGCTGATTTCTGTTGTTCCTTCAAACTCGATAAAGCTGCCCATGAGACGCAGTTTGGCCGGAGTGACCAGCATGGCGGTAAAACAACAAGTTCTGTGCATCTGACGGCCAAGGCCCAGAGCAGAGACCGAGGCAAAGCAGGCCTGGCAGAACCAACGAATCATGACCAGTTTCATCTAGTGCCTAATCACATCGTGGTCTCCGCAGAAGGAAACATTTCTAAAAAAACCGACTGCCTCGGCAGAGCACTGAAATTTGACAAAGTGGGCTCCGCTCAGTACCGGAGTGCGTCTGAAGAGAAAACCAGCCGGAGAGACTCCACAAAAGGCAGCGAGTGCTCCACCGGCCCTGAAGGCCACCGGAAAAACTTATCCAGAGCAGATCATGGTCCTGACAGCAAACTCTCAAGCCTCCTCGTAGATTCGCACCTGGAGATGACCTGTAATAGCTCCTTCCAGGACAAGACACTGCGGAATTCTCCAAAGAGTGAAGTTTTACACACAGACATCATGAAAGGGTCAGGCGAGCCCCAGCCCGATCTCCAGCTCACTAAGAGTTTAGAAACGACATTTAAGAACATTTTGGAACTCAAAAAGGCTGGGCGGCAGTCCCAGAGTGACCCCACGGTTAGTGGCTCTGTCGAGTTAGATTTCCCCAACTTTTCTCCAATGGCTTCGCAGGAAAACTGCCTGGAAAAGTTCATCCCGGACCACAGTGAAGGCGTCGTAGAAACTGACTCTATTTTAGAAGCAGCTGTAAATAGTATCCTAGAGTGTTAATAGCGCAGTCCTCCCCGCACCCGCCCCGAGACCCCGCCCCGGACAAGTTACATTCTTTCCTGGCAAAAGCAATGGAAACGGTCTCCTGTCTCCAGCCTGCTTGATCTTTCATCACAGGTTATTCTTTCTAATTTCAATCCCATTCTTTGTTTAAGAGCAATACTCGTGGTTACAGGGAGATCTTTCAGTAAAGCTGATCGTTACTAGAAAGCAGTCTGATAGGCCCTATACATTTCAAGTGTTTTCAGAAGTGCTTATCGTCATTTTTTTGTTTATTTTTTTTCCCAAACACTGTAATTCAATGAGATCACAGTACACTTGGCCCTAGGTAAAATTCTGACAATCATAAGTCATTTGAAAAGAACAGACTTTATTATAGAAAATCAAACAGGACTGTTAGAAGATACTTTTTAAAGAATATCCCCACTGTATCTCCAAATTTGGGCTTTGAGACGGGTGGGTCTCGGGGTGGTCATGGGCCAGGAGACCGCATAGCTCTCCCCCCAGCCATCTGTGAGCAGTTAGCCCAGGCTGCTCTGCTGGGACCCACAACCCCAGCCTGAGCACCTGGAGCGCACGGCAGGGCTTCCTGTTCATCCAAGTGCTTTTCTGATGCCCCCTGAGCAAAAGCTCACCTCTTCAGCATATCCACGTTGAATTTCATCTAGGGTAAACTTTGTTTTGAGTTGCGACAGCATGACTTGAGATAATCTCACCAGGCAAAATAAAGGAAAAATGGAAACTAGATAAGTGGCACAGTGTATGGGGGAGGCCAGGATCGAGCCTTGAGGAATATAATATGTATATATGTAAAAGCATATATATTATGTTCACTGTTGAGAAAAAAACAAGCGTTTTGCATTCTACAATTGGATCTAGTCAACATACAATGTATGTTTCTGTTCGTTGCTGGGTTTTGTTTCATTCAACCTCTCTTTGCACCCCCTCCCACAACAAATAGCCAAGCGTCAAAAGCACTTTCATTTGAAAACTGTGTTATAATTTTTCAGTTTAAATGTTAAGGGGACTTTGGCCTTGTTTCTGCTTCTTGTTGTCTGAGAACAGTAGTCATACCCCCCGGCAGCAATCATTACCAAAACATAGACAAACCAAAGGTAACCAGCCAGCCCACCACTGAAGGGAAGATCTGAGACCCGGATGCCCACTGGAGAGCCAAAGGACTCGCCCCGTCACAGTTTCTGTTTGGCCCATGTTCATGTTCATGGATGTGACTTACTGCTTTATTTATTTATATTTCTTTTCAGGGAGCTTTCCCTATTTTCCTTTCTTGTACACCTGCCCCAGGTCCTCCCATTTCTGTCGTCCCTTTCATTCTCAAGGTCACTGCAACCGTCAGTGTCCCCTAGCACTGGGAACGCTACACGTGGTATTCCGTGTGTACTGTCTGACCTACGTGTGTGCGTGTGTCTGGGCTGTTCAGGTACAGAGGTTATTTTGGCTACAGCATGTACACAGTCACCCTCCCTCTTATGTGGACAGGCTCTCATCTCTTCTGTCCACCTCTCTGGCTTTAGAGGAGCTCCCACTTGTCTTCACTCAAACACGTTGCCAAGATCTACTTCTGGCCTTCCCCAAAATGAGGACAACCCCCTGTCATCATGTTGGGCATTTCTTTTCTGAATTGGCCGGCAATGGAAAGGAGGGCTTCTGATTCCTATAAAACACAACAACAGAAGACCTAGACTCTCCCTGCCCCTGAGTCCCCCGCCCCAACACACAGAGAAATCCTGGGAGACTGCCAGGATTCACAAAAGCAAAATACCTTCTCCCCACTCCCACCCCTGAGCCAATAGAAACTGGGAAATCTGGGCCATTTCACGGTTGCCATGTTTTCCTCATTTGTGCCAATGTCCCAAGTTGCAGATTTCCCTTTTACCCCGTATTGTAACATATTAGAAAGATAAGTTGGTATTGCCAGTTGGAACTTTCTGTTTGGGCAGCCCTGGGGTAACACCCTGCTCTGAACCCCTGATGTCACAGGCTCTTCTTCTCTTAGGGCTCATGCTCCCCTAATTACTAGCAAGACTTAAAGGTGGTTCCTCCTGATCAAATTCTTCTCATTGTGGAAATTTATACCTGGAAGCCTTCTTGGAGGCTACCAATGAGTTACATTAATTACCAAATCAGTGGAATTCTTAAGAGACAAGATAGATTCATGTGTATTTGTCACCTCTCTTCTTCCCTACCCTGCCCTGCTACCCCGGTCCCAGCTTTTCAATATACCATCTTAAAGGGATTTTTAAAGACTTGACACTTGTCTAGAAAACGGAGAGCCTAATTTACCAAAATGAAACTTGTAAATTTTTGTGTCCTTGTATGTAAGTTTACTTTTAACGGAGGAAAGATTCTAGATAATGACAAATGACGATTACGAAATGTATTTTATTCCTGTGATTAGGTCATAACTCGCATGTCGAGGCCCCTCTGGTGGAGGGTGAGAGCTCAGCCTCGGATGGCCAACATTCAGTTGTTAAGGTTCATTAGTCAAAGTTAAGTTTTAGAGCTACTCGTACTCAGTAACAAAAATCATTTTCTTTTCTTTTTTTTTTTCTTTCTGTTGTTGTTGTGGAAGAGTGTGAATTTGTTATTAAGCATTTGATTTTCTGTGTCCTTAAGTACTGCCTAAAGATAAAGCAAATTTTAAACTGGCAATTACGAAAAAGAACTATTTTAGTGCTGAAGAATTTAGTAGACTTTGTTAGATTAGGGAGGCCTTACAGACTGACTTGACTTAAAGAGGACGCGTCACTCACTGTCAGTGTGGTGTGGGCTTTATTTGCTTAAATACCTTCATTTGTATAGTATGTCTCACTTGAAATTGCTTTGTATACATTTTGTAAAAATATTTATAAAATGTTTTGTAAAAAAAAGTATAACAAATTGCAGTTTATTTTGTTATGTTGGATAAATACTGTTAAAAGAAACCAGTCAGTAACTATATTGTTAATCCATGGTTAGGAAATGTTTAGTTGGAGATTACAAAATGAAACAACCATTGCAATACAGCCAAAGATTTGGGAAAATGTGCAACTGTGATTGTCTTGATTTTGCAAAGAAGAATGGCTGCTTTTCCCAGAAGAAAAGGGTAAGTAAGTGTCCAGCGGGCATTCTGTTATTAAATCCTATTACCCAAAACTAGCTCTGCCAGTGAAGGGGTAGGATTTTAATTGATCAGCCTTTCCAAACAGTTGCCAATTAAAGTTGGTCAGTAAGAAAGTTTAGTCATGTACATGTCAGGCCTCCCTCCCAGGACTCCTGCCACATGGGCCCTTAACTAAAGAAGGAAAAATGAGGTCATTTGAAGGTTAGATAAAAGGGTCTCAATCTGCAAGAAATTTCCTTTAGTCGTTATATTTCTTTTGTTTCTGCAGGGACAAGAAGGCTAAGGGATAGGTAAAAAATGAAAAAGATTAAAAAAAAAAAATGAAAAAGATTAACAACTGTTTGATGTGAGACTTGTTCCAGAATGAACACGTTTCCCTTTGGATTCACACATTTGACCAAATTATATTGAGAAATAACCCCTGTTATATCTATAAAGTCAGCCCCAGGGGCACTTCTGATTCCTGGCCTCCCTCCCAAGTGTAACTTTACCAAAATGGTCAGGAAAACTACCAGAGTGGAAACTTCGTGGAGTAAGGGTCTAAGACAGCTTACCTTTTTCTTTGGGGCCTAGAATTTATACGTAGCCTCCTTACTTTATGGTTTAATGGCTCCTTTCCCCACCCCCACCATTAGGTGGTAGCAGTTGGGATATCAAGATTCCTCAGTAATCAATATATACAGAGGAAGTCATTCTCCTCTATCTTAACAGAAGTTAGAATAATGACATCAGTGGATGGATCCCTTAATGTCTTCCGCAGTGGTGTCCTGCTGTCGAGCTTCTCCCCTTGCTAAGGACAGATATGTGTCCAACATGACACGCTTGCCCCTCCTCCGCCCATTTGCAGTGGGTGTGCCCCGTGAATAAAGAGAAGGATCATCTGGCTACTTGGTTAGGATTGAAATCTGTGTGTTGCACGGGAGCACGAACAGAGGAAAAAGCTCTTCGGATGGTTAGAGCCCTGAGCCCTGTGTATGAGAGGCCCCGTCCCAGGAAAGGGGCCCTAGCACTACCTGATGTGGGAGAGTAGCCAGGGAGTTACTGGGGGAACAGGAAGGGAAAGGAAAGAAACTCTACCATCTTGGGGCACAGAAGCAGCATCGTTCAGGCAGGATATCTGTGGCACTGGATCTGAGCTCTGGCTCAGCTTCATAGACAGAGGGAGGACTCCCAGGCATCTGGCATTAAGTATCAAACTATGGAGGAGTTTGCAGGCAATGTGCTAAACCCCGGGGGTCTACAGATCACTCGGGTGTGATGTCTGTACTCAAGGAGCTCAGTCTAGAGAGGAAACAAGTCCCTAAATAGCTACATTCCAAGAGAAAAGAAACTTGGGGCTAAAGTTTTTCCAGATCTCCACTTGGTAGAGAGCCATGATCTATATTCCCATGCCCCTCTTAATTCCATGGTTCTTAGTGCAATTTCCTGAGGTACGTTTAAGAAAAAATAAGTATGATACTTTTTGTATGAATGAAGATAGAGGAATTTTGTAGCGTTAACTATATGGAGAAATCTGGTTCAGCAGACACACAAACTGTAGGAGCACCCTTGCACTATCAAGTAGATTATAAAGGATACATACAGGCTAAAGTGAATAGGCTGTATGTATCTACACTACTGCAGGTTAAAAGGCCTTCATGAGTCCCTGATCTTTATTCCTTGTAGGCATGTGCTGGAGCAAATCATGTGTGAAGGTCAAGGAAAGCAGTACAATGGGAGGTGGGAGCGGGTGGGCACGGCAAGTGTCTTTAGCAGCAGAACCTGGGAACAGGCCCCAGGACTTCACCTGTCATCAGACAGCTTCGTGCAAGTTACTGTCATCCTTTGCTTCCTTGCCTGTCAACTGGGAAGACTTGTCCTGATCCTCCACTTTTTAAGGTGTAAAATGAAGTCTTCAGGGAATGTGGAAGGGAAAAGCTAAAGTTCCTTTATCCCCAGAATAATTCACAAGAGGTCTGGGTGGTTCTGTTTTGCATTTGGTCTTACCTACAGCACACTCTCTGCCCACCCCCTCAGCTCTCCGGTGTCTACCATCGACCCTCAGGAGGCTGCCGCCCTCCGCCAGTTCTCTCCTTTTCCCCTTTCACTTTTGGTCCCTTTGCTCGTTGTTTATCAGGACCTAAACATGTTGTCCATGTTGTCTTTCCCAACTCCAGGCTCACGTGTTTGCTCTCTCCCACCTCCCACCTGCCGCCTGGGGGCCCCATGGCACTCTGAGGAGGCGAGCAGGAACTCCTGAAACAAAGTCAACTACAAGGAGGGCCCTAATCCGAGAAAGAGGTCTGGGGTGGATGGGAAATTGCAAGTTGGGCCCACTTTTGGGTGTGTGGGGTGTGATGCTTTTGCCTTATTGAGAAGGCATGATTCAAAATAATCCCAAAATGCAGATATAAGGAAAGGAATCCCAGAGCCAATTCAGAGAACCACAGAATGTTGGCTCTGAATTTTTTATTATGGATCCTAGTTCCCCCATCGGATCTAATCGGTGCCCCTGCATTTGTGTCTTAACCACTGGACCGCCAGGGAATTCCCTAGCAAGGAGTCCTAAAAAACAAACATATAGTCAAGTGGTTTCTAAAACAGGCAAATCACAAGAATCTAATTACCCAGAGAGTGCTTTCTTAAACTAATACATAAGTAATAAACAAAGGGCACACCACAAAGTGTAAGTCTTTCTCCTATTCCAGGCCCTATTCCCATTTCCCCAAAATAACCTCTGTCAACACTTTCCTATGTGTGTGTTAGTTACTCAGTCGTGTCCAACTCTACAACCCCATGGATTGTAGCCTGCCAGGCTCCTCTGTCCCTGGGGATTCTCCAGGCAAGAATACTGGAGCAGGTTGCCATGTCCCAACCCAGGGATTGAACCCAGGTCTCCTGCATCACAGGCAGCTTCTTTACCTTCTGAGCCACCAGGGCAGCTCACACTTTTCTGTGTATCCTTCTTACTCTATTCTGTATCTTAATTTTTCAAATGTAGCCAAATGTCTGGGAGTTTTATAGTTAGGATTCTTTGGTTTTACATAACAGAAACCCTTCTGGTCAGTTAACAGCATAAAATTTTATAGGAAGGATAAAGATGAAAGGGAAGATTGAAGAGCTTGAAGACTTAAGGGAATTTTCTGCTAATCCAGTAGTTAGTACCCTGTGCTTCCATTGCAGGGGCCAAGGGGTTTGACCCCTAGTCAGGGAACTAAAATATCTCAAACCAAACAGCATGGAGAAAAAATAAATAAAAATTAAAATTCTCACTTTAACCAGAAAAAAATTAAAGTATTTGGGGGTCAAATTCCAAAAACAAAAGAACTTGAAGACTTGAGAAAGACAGGAATCAGAAAACTCCAGGAGGCCTTAGGAGATAGAAATCCTTAGAAGTCTTGCCCTGGACTAATTCTGTTTCCTCCATCATCACTCTGTTGAAGATTCAAAATCTGGAGAAGAGAAGGTGAGGGTCTTATGGGCAGGTGGGAGTTGAAAAGATGTTCCAGAAACCCCTTCAATGGATCTATTGGGAGGTCAAGTGTGTTTGGATTTGATGCCCCACCCTC